TATATACCTTATCTGATCCTGCTCTATCAAAATCTAGTGGAATATCCATGTAGATTTGTCCTTTTAATTTTTTATAAAGAAAAACATTTTTTACATTAATTTGTGTAGTTGCTAGTCAAAATGGGCAACTAACAATAACAAGATTCGCGCAGTGTTCATTTTGCCTATTGGTGCAAATGTCTCCTGGTAGTTCATCTTATATGTCTCTGTATAATCTTTTGCCACCGATCTGATTTTATATTTTTCAATTGTCCCACTTGCTTTATATTTGACTAAAAAAAATCTATTTGCATCCTATCGGTTTATTGGCTTTGGGTAGATTTACCATTTCCCAAGTTTGGTTCTTTTTAAGTGCTTGCATTTTCTTACTCATAACATTTTTTCATTTCGATAGGATAATGTCTCAGATATTGTATTACGGTTAGACACATTATTTAAACTTATAAAGAAATTTCTATGAGTTGATAAACACTTATTAAATGACACAAATTATGAAATAGGATGTAGAGAGTGTTTAGTGTATTTTCTTGTATCTTTATAAAGTGCATTAGGTACATCATTGTCGGAAGATTGTATAAGTTTTTTAGAACTTATCTTAGTTCCAGGATCAAGGTCGGATTCTTGGACTGGCTTTGGCTCAGTACTCGATATCTTCCTCTTTGTATACACTTGAGGAAAACATAGGGTTTGACATGATCCTTGGAGTGGATGAACTTTGAAGGTTTTCTTGTGGTGATGAGTTTTTTGGCAGGTTTTAGACGTTCTCTTGCGGTGATGGTTTTAAGGTGTGTGGTAAAGGTAGTAGGTTGAAGTCCATTAAGAATTGTGTATCCTTATCTTTCAATATAATTTCCCCTTGAAATTAAGGTTGGATGAAGTAGAATTCTTGTTCAAGAAATTTGACGCCCGCAGATGCATAGAATTTTTAAATAGGTAGATGATAACATTTGTAGCCCTTTTGAGATGAGTATCTTACAAATACATACTTCAGGCCTCAGGGATCAAGTTTTCCTCTTTGATGGAAATAAATATGAACAAAAAAAACATATCCAAATATCCAAGGGATTAGATGGTTTGTAATATTTACTGCTAGGTAAAACCGTTGAAGTGTTTCCAGAAGACTTTTGAAGTCAAGAACATTTGTGGATAGATGATTAATAGTGTAGGTTGTACTAAGGATATGTTCGCCGAACATTGTTTTGGAATTTTTTGGAGAAAGAAAAACTCAAGTGGTGGTTAGAAAAGTGACTAGTCTTGCATTCCATTACTCCAATTTGTTGTGGTGTGAACACAAGATGACTCATTAAGAATTATTTCTTGATGGAAGAATGATGAAATTGTGTAACTAAATTTTTTTTTGGTGTTGTTAGTATTAGATATTTTTATGGATGTTCAAAATTGGGTTTTTATTATATGCATTGAGGTATGATATGACTATCAAATTTAGTTTTGAGTAAAAATAGTTAGGTGATTTTAGTTCAATCGTCAATAAAATGACACAATATATCGAGTCTCAAAAATATTAGGTGGATGAGTTCGTCATCAAATATCACTGTGAATTAATGTAAATAGAACTGAACTTCTCTTATTATTAATAGGAAATGATAGATGCTTATGTTTTTTAAACTCACAGATATTATAATGTAAATTTTCATATTCTAAAATTTTGACAATAAGGGAAACATAACAAACTAGAAAAAGATGGGCGTTCAAGTCTCTTATGATAGAGGCAAATATTGTATATGAGGTTGGTGGTTACAGCAGAGAAGGCTCTTGCAGGTGCATCCAAGTAATAGAGTCCATGCCTGACTTAACTAGTAGAGTCTGCGCTCTCACCGAGAACTGAGGTGTGCGATTGAGAGAGTTGCATGACGGCTAGGGTTGTGCCCGAATGGAGTTAGGGCATTGCTGGTGTCGATATAGACCATGTGACCAGGTCATGTTTGCGACAAAAGGAGCAACCTCATCCATTTGACTAAGGATGAAGTTTGTGGTGCAGCTGCATCTGTTCGTGTTGCAGCTGCATTTGGATGCGGGCTTGAAGGTGATCACGGCTGAGGGACGCTCAGGTGGCAGCGGCTAGAGTTGTATGTCTGTGCAGACTGACCGATTATGTGACTGCATCTGGGCCTGTGTGCGGCTGGATTGGGCGAACTAGATCCAGCGTGAAGGCTGGTCTTTATGGAGATGGCTGGTTATGATGTTGGCTTGTGGTG